GTACATAAGGGAATATTAATGATTAAATAAAAGCTACTTGGCATGACTACGCCAGCATTTAAAAAAAAAAAAAAAAATTTTGATTTCAATTTGAATTTTTTTCTTATTTTAGATATAGTAATAAAAAATATGAATTAAGATTTACTTTCTATATAACAAATAAACTGTTTTTTTCCTTTACTTTTATTTCTTTAATTTATTGCAAATATTTTTTTTATTTTATAATTCTTTATTGATATTATTTTAATATATAAATTATTTACTCTTGTAATTTGCTAATAATTTAAAGTATTGTTTATTGTTTGAAGTATACTAGTATTTGATTTACTTTTCTACTCAGATTTTACTTATTTGATTAATATTATGTTTATTTAGTTAAATTTTTTAACTTTTTTTTCAATTTTATAGATTGAATATTATTGTTCTGTAATTATTATTTATTATAAAGAGAATCTATTATAATATAAGTAAAATATAACAATTTTTAGTTTTTTATTGATAATAAGTTTTTTGTAATAATTTTTTTTTTCAATAGAAGTGGTTTTGCTTTTGCTAAACTTATCAATATTATAGTTTAATCTATTGTTAATATAATAATATTATCTAGGTATTTCATTTTATTTTCTTTTTATTATTGAATCTTGAGTTATTGATATATTAAAATAAATAAAAAATATAATTAATTAAGACTATATAGGTTAGAAAAAAATTTATAAATATTAAAAATTATATAGCTTTTTATTCTATTTTTTATACTTTTTAATATTTAATTCTTTCATAACTTTAATAATTATTTTACTGAATTGTTTAACTAATATATTCTATTAAAATTATGATAAAAAATCTAATAATTTTTTTATTTTTATATAGAATTTTACTTTTTTTTATAAAAATTTTTTAGTAGTATACAGTATTATTTTCACAAATATATAAGATAATTAAATATTTTTAAATAATATATAAATATATTTATCCATTTTATTATTCATTTGATTAATGTTACATTATTATATTTATTGTTTATTAAACCTTTTTAATTTTTTAATTAATAAATCTTATTATTATTATTATTAAATAATTTAAAAATATTTTTGCTATTGTTTCTATTTTTTTTTTTGTTTATTATAATTACCATTAATAAAATTTAATATCTAATATTAATAACTAAAATATTTTCAAAAAAATATATTATAAATAATCAAAACTTTTTTGTCTTTTAAAGAGATTTTTATAGTTAATTTTTTTTCTTATTATAAAACTTTATATTTATGGTTTTCAGGATATTTTACTTATTTTATTTTTATCTTAAATTTTTATATAATAAAATCTTTATCAAAAATTTTTAACTAAATTAATTTTAAAATATAAAAATTTTTTGTTGTTTATGTTTATATATTTTAGTGATATATTAGCAATTAAAAAAATTTTTGACTTTAGTTTTAAAAAAAAACTATTATAATATTAAAAAATAAGTAATAAGTTATAAAATATGCTAATATCTATTTTTTATTAATTTTTTAATAGTAAAAAAATACACCTTAAAAATAAATTAAGATCAAATTTTTATTATAATTAGATAAAAGTCTTAAAAAAAAATTTTTTTTTTAATTGGATAAACTCTTTCTATATGGCATTGAATAGTTTATTACATATTTTATTTAAAAAATAAGTTTCTTGAATGCTTTTTAAAATTTTTTTAATAAATAAATAAGTTTCCTACAAGTTAAAAAATAAAAAATATTTCAATTGACAATTTTTTTCTAAAGATTATTAAATTGATTAAAAAATCTTGAAAAACCTCAATTTTTTTTTCTCCTCTTCCAATTTAATTTGGCATTTACAATTTTTGGAATAATCTGCAGTAATGAACTATTGATAAAGGTTCAATAGATAAAAATTGAATTTTAATCTATCCAGAAGTAAAATATTGATTCTTAAAATCTACTTAGAGTATATAGTTTCGACTTTATTTTGTTTAGTACAGACTAGTTTAGTGTAATTCTTATATTTTTTAAGTTGAGTAGTCATTAAATTAAGTTAACTGTTATATAAATTGTCTATATAATTTCATAGATACTTATTTAATATTTAATAAAGACATAAGCTAATACTCAAGATTTGATGGCCACATCTAAAGTATTTTTTATTACTAATGTTGATTATAAATTAGAATAGGCATCAGTTTATCTTATCGAATGCTGACTATTTATTAAGAATTTTTAATTTAGAATCAATAATTAAGAGTAATTAAAGTATATCCAGCAATTAGAAAGAACGTAGTTATCTCAAATGTGAAAAAAAATTGAGATTTGTTTACAAATTATTCTTTTCAAAATTTTCTCTTGCCAAGTGGAGTACAAAATTATGCTACGTACTTCTATCAAATAAAATTAGTGGCACGTAGGAATATTATAGCGATACTCAAACAAGCAACACTTTGAAGTACTTTATTACACAAATTAATAGTACGTATCTTCAAATAGTATACTGTACGTACTGTATACGTAATGTGTTCTGTTCAAACCCAAGTACAATACATTATGGAACAACCTTGTACAATTATCAGCCCACCTCAGAGTCAAATCAACAGATTGCAAACATAAAACAGTACAGTATTTGTAATAAAATTTTGATAAGAGTCAATAATCATTACGTATATTATTATATATAATATAGCATTGCAACATAATCGCAGATATAAATAAGAGGAAGAAAAGAATCAGAAAATAAATATAGAAATTTCGATTAAATATGGCAATGCAATAAACAAAAATTATTTAATGACTCAATTATATGATTGATTATATTTATTGTGCTATCTAAATTATACTTTGTAACATGAAACAGTTATTATAAAACATTAAAATGACATATAAACTATATCTTATTGTGTAAAAACATTTTATTTAATCTCAATAAGAATTTGCTCAAAACCAATGCTATATCTTATCAATCTCTTATTTAATATAAATATACAATTTAGTAAAATAACTTCGTAAGCAGAACTAATAAAGAATTTTGTATATACCGTAATACGTGCCTTACAAGATTCGAATCACAAGCTCAGTTTGTTGATATTACGATATTTAAATTGGTCATGCGCATATAAACAACTTTATTCAATGGTTAATTTCTTATCCGGCCACGTACAATAATCCGGATTATTTTATAGTAAGTTCCGAAATAAAAATAACGTATAAACCGCGGAGTTAGCCTCAAAGTATATTCTTCGTTCTCAAAATGGATTCAATAACCGCATCAGAAAATCACAATAGAGATGGTAAAAAAGCTTTTCAGTCTGAAAATTATTCCGCTGCGTATAGGCACTATTCTTTTGCAATAGAAGTCGCTAACTCAAAATGTGCTAAGTACTACTTAAATCGTGCGAGAACGAACCTTAAAATGAATCAGTACATGTTTGCCTACGAAGATGCAGAAGAAGCTCTCACGCTTGACCCTGTTAACATCGC